TTTTAAATAAAATTTTATATTTTTTTGGCTTATTGAATGATTTATATAATCTTTTTTTTTAGATTTTTAAATTAATCAATTGAAAGTGATGCTTTTCGTTTTCGCCCAAATATCAAATTAAGTGACATTATTAAAATGCAGTTAGGGGTGGGAATGCAAGCGCCTTTTCTACGGATTTCGCTGCCAAAAAAATGAATAATTAAACTAAACATTGAAACGTTAAAAAAATGTATCTTCTTATTTTAAACAAGATTGCAAGATTTCATTAAAAATTTTGCTTACACTATACTAAATATCCTTACGAAAATCGAAGTGTAAATTAAAAAAAAAAATTTAAAAACATTTTTTAGTTTCTTCTATGATACATAAATTTACTCTAAAAACTTCGCATATGTTAGTTGTAGTGCAATATGTATTGAAAACGGCTGATATCATCTATCGCACAAAAGAAGGAGCGCACAAAACAAAATGCATAAAAATAAAAAAATCGCATACAAAAAGACCGTTTATTTTGAAAATGTCTGGCAACATAGTTGAAAGTGAAATTTTCTTTATTTAACGTATAAACATACCAAAATTAGTACCGGAAAGTTCGTTTTTCGAAAACACGTTTTTATAATAGAAACATTTTTAGGGGCTGGCAACGCGTTCCCAAAGTGCTCCAACACAAATTTTTTTTTTGTATGGAGAATCTAAATTAAGCTCCATATTTATTATAGACCATGCGTAAGGATCGCTCGTTCAAAAGAGCGTGGCTTTGAATGTGTACGACAATTAAAAAAAAAAATAAATTACACCTTGCTGACTATAATCTATTTCAAAATGTTTAATATCAAAATCAAACTTCGAAAACTTGTTTCAGTTAAACATTTACAAAATAGTTGTGCTTCCAAACTTACAGCGTAAATTGAACCGTCGTTTTGTATATTTCTTCGGCACATACCTGAAAATAAAAGAGAAAACTGTTTTTAGCTGTGGATAAATTTCAAAGGTATGAAACGCTTATAAATGCATACTACACTGGATTCGTTCCTATACAGAAGACAAAAAAATAACCTTCACCCATCTAAGAATTAGGGAAACGTGGTTACGCCAAGGCTAATGATTTCATTTCATTTAATTTGTTAATCAAATTATTAGCACAATAGGATGTACCCGGCTACAGTCCCAGCCATATTTTCATAAGGAGCACTGGTTTCGTGGTCAGGCTTTTGACACCGTCAGTCACTCCACACGCTACTAGAAGACATAGAGGCCTCCTCTCTCCCACAGGAACTCAAACGGTGGTCGGTGAATTATCTGAGTAGTCGACACTCGTCAGTAATTTTTAGAGACAAATCGAGCAATCCCAGGAGAATAAAACAGAGGGTTCCAAAGGGTGGTGTCCTTTCCCCACTACTGTTTAACTTTTATATTTCCAAGCTCCCTCAACCACCAGAGTGAGTCTCGATTGTTTCTTATGCTGGCGATTACTCGATAATGGCGTCTGGGAATGGTATTGATGACTTTTGCTGGAAATTAATTAAGCTTTCTCGCTTCTTTACTGCAAGGAGCCTAACCCTCTTCGCTACAAAATCCACACCAACCCTTTTCCTAACTTGGTCGAAGGGGGTCAGACTGAAGTTGGGTATTCACGTCAATTACAAACCAATTCCGACAGTGAATAACGCGAAAATCTTCGGAGTTACCTTCGACAGTCTTGTCAATAAAGTCCACTATTCTTTTTAAGCTTTGTTACTAGGGAGCCACAGACGTGGGTACCCGAACAGACACTTGCTTGCAGAGGAGCCCTTTGAACCCGACAGCATATCGACAGGCCTTGAGCGGCATTCACACAGAGTCGGTCTCAAGTTACGTAGAATCCAGACCTGTGAATGCCGTTCTGGGCACACAACCACCTGACGTGTACTTGACAGAGCTCCGTCTGCCTCGGGAGGGAGGTTAAACTCGTACCTGAGCAGACTGGATGCCGGTGTGCCCAATGAGTGCCCGACATGCGGAGAGAAACCACACGACTGGATACATCTCTACGCCGCTAAATCCTAGGGGGTGAGAGCTTAACATTTCAAACTTTTTTTTTGACTAGCCTAGTGCACATACGTTTGTACATATGCACATAGTATCAAACTGAAATTCCTTCAAAAAAAGCTCTATCCTCACCGTAAGATATGAGTTTCATTTTAATTTCTGTTTCACTTTAAATTAATTGTAGTGTCTGCATGGTTTATTTCGTCTCCTTTTCGCCTTCTGCTAAAGACTTATGTACCTACACACTTATGAAAATTTGTGTATTTTTATTTTTATGCACTGACCTAGATCCAAGCAGACACGATGGACGTACAATGATCACCGATCGGCGATCCTCTTCACGATCACAAGAAATAATGTAACGAATACATTTACATGTACACGAATCTAAAAGCGCCTACACTTTCTATATTTATACATATGTACATACATGCATACATATATACACACTCACTAAGTCTATTTAAAATTCCTCTTGATGCCACAACTGTCTGCTTTTCTGTACATTTCGACTTCCTCAGCAGAATCACATCCTCCTGTTGAGTGAATGCGGAGATGCTAAGTACGAATAAATGTGTGGATTTTATAAGTGCATATGCTCAGTTCAACGCTTCCTGCTCTTCAAGCAAGCAAAAGTCTGTTTGTGGAAAATAGCAATCGCGGATCTTTATTGCGTATCAAACCACCCCACCGATTGTCATACATATTTTTCTCTCGCTAAGTTATTTCTTCATTGAGTTGGTCTTTCTTACTGTGGCAGTGAATTGCTTTAGAAATCGTATAGCGTACATATGCATGTCTCTACATATATGTGTATAAGCTTTAGAGGAATGCTTGCATCAGCAAATAAGGAGCAGACCAGATGCTTATTTACTGGAAGTGCTCGCCAGTTGCCAAGCGCGCTATAAACGCACGAGGATCATGTGGGAGAGCGATGCGACTTTTTTGTTAGTTACATACCTACGCCACCCATTTTGGTGATGGGGTGTGTGTCTTTCTCTCTCTTAATCATATGACCGTATATTCCCTATAAACATTTTGGCGAACGTTCGAAAATTACCTTCTATATCCAGTATGCATATCGGACTGAGAGCGAACTCATAACCAACCTTAGTTTTCCAACGTTTATAGTATATTGGAAATACACTCCAGATGGGTTCGAAAAAAATGGAAACCATAGTAACAAGAGAGATAGTGAAATCTAGCTCATTCTCCACGGGACTATAAGACAATCACACTCTCTCATTGAAATTTCAATTGCATAATGGGATGGATTTCGAATTCATAACGAAGGGAAAATACATTGGATAACAAGGGTTCCGTTTTGCTGGAGAATGGCCTTGCTCCCGAATCGAATAAATACTAACCTATTGCACATTCGTTATCGAAAGTGAGACCGCCTTTTCGAATTGCTAACTACGCCCAATGTTTACTGGGTTAGATTGCCTCACCCTTCATGAAAAACACCGTTCCTAAACGAATCGTAAAATATTCCCTATTTAATACATAGCTTCCAACAAAATTTGTTGGCTTTGTTCAGTATAAGTTGTGGGTTTTCGGGATCCTCAATGGTGTCCGAATGGGAGAAGATACGTTCGGTAAACAATCAGCCAACGCCCAAACGTCAAAAGAACGAAAATGGAAAACCATCTAAAACCTGACCTGCGGAAATAGTAATACTAGCGATTGCCTGCCCGGAATTCAGCATGTCTACATTAAGAGTTAATTAGTAGAGGAAGCGGATGTCGGGGAGATCTATGGAGGATTGCAGAGTAAACATATATACCACACTATATGGTGTTCTCTCACCTTCTCTTTGTTTTGTGGTCTTAAACGACCTGTTATAGGAGCTGTAGAGACTGCCGGTTGATTGCCTAAGTGGATAACGTTGCCTTTTGGTGAGGGATCAAGTTCTGTATGTCCTTTATGATCTGATTCAAAGGCACTGCAACTCAGTGACTAAGTTAGTTAGAGCGACTAAATCCTAAGAAATTGTTGACGTTCAGCTGACACTTTTTGAAAAAATGAAGTATGCCAAGCTGTCTGCGAAATCTATTACTGTGGCGAGAGTGTTGAAGGAATCAGTGGCTCATTCCTGCGACAGTGAGCCATTTGGTGAGGGATTTGGCCTCTCGCCTAAGGTGAATTTCTGGCACTATTAAACCTTGGTTAAGCCTATAATATTTTATTGAGACCTCATATCCACTTGTTAATTGGAACTAGTGGGGCATTAAAGATCCTTCCCACTAGTTTTTCCAATTTTCGGACTTAGTCAAGACTAAGCTGATTAAAACGTAGGCAAAATTTTGGCTTAGCCTAGATGGTGAATACGAATAAGTCCAAAAAATGGCTAAACTATGTTAAGTTGAGTTGGAGAAACCCAGCCCTACAGAAAAGGTCTGTTGAGTGCTAAGTGCTTAATAGTATTCTAGTAGACAGCGACTTTATCTCTGATAATACGGATCACTGCGGTATTAGGCAGGCACCAGTGAGCATTTTCTTCACGCATATTCCCCGGTGAACTTCTATACGGAAGGCGGAATAGGCCAAAGCTTGAAAGAAGCGTTGGGGGAGCGGTCCTTTGCGTGAAACTCTACATCAAACTCAAATTGGGAATGCCTGACTTCTATTGCAGTCGCGTCCGGTTATTTTCCTCATAGCAGCGTAGTACTAAACTATTTAGTACGATTTCTAAATACTAAACAGTTCAGGAGTAGAAAGAATAATCGGTAATTTTCGATTTTTATTTCTGAGTTATTGGTAATATAATAAAATGCTTCGCGCTTTCCGGGGAATTTTAAAACGTTTCAAGATTTTTGCTGGATTTATTTTTCGGGTTTTTCGGAATTCTTCGTGCTTTGCTTTTCGAGATTTGAAGCTTCCTTCGCTACCTTGTTTATTTTTTTATGCTTCCAGGACTTTTTGGGTTTCTTCGTGCTATATCAATCCCGATTTTGCGGTATTTTTCGTGGTTACGAAATTCTTCGTGTTTCAATTTTCGGGATTTTTTTTTTGAGATTTTTGAGATTTCTCGAGATGAGTTTTGCATTAAATAGTGAAGCCAAAAATACAAATAATTGCCCTGCAATGGTCAAAATACATATTTTGGTAAGGATCATATCGATGGCTGAGTGGAAGATCGACCTATCTCGGCAGCCAGTTCGAAAACGCTCTATCTCAAAAAACTTTTCAAGAACGCCCTATTTCAGAATTTAATTGAAAAACACCTTATCTCAAAATTCGGTTCAAAAACGCCCTATCTCACTTCAAAATGTTTGGAAAATATGCTGATATAGGGCGTTTTTGAATCGGCAGCTGAGATAGGGCGTTTTTGAAACGAATTCTGAAATAGGGCGTTCTTGAAAAGTTTTTTGAGATAGAGCGTTTTCGAACTGGCTGCCGAGATAGGTCGATCTTCCACTCAGCTATCGATATATTTAGGTAAACCTTAAACCTAGCATGGAACAAGTAATTTTTAAGCAGAAAACAAAACCGACTTCAATTCACATATAAATATATATGATCCAATGATCGGATCTAAACCAGATTAGTATGGGACCACCTCTGAGACACTACCTTTCCGAGCCAAAAATAATTATCGAAATCGGTTGACGTGGTCCAAAGTTATGCAGTAACATACATAAAAATAAAATAAAATTTCCGACGAACTGATAACCTTCTCCTTTTTTGGAAGTCGGCTAAAAAACAAGTAATTTTTACCATTTTTTTGTAGATAGGCTCCTCTGGCTATCATGGCCCCATCTGTATACAAGTTCGTATAAATAAAATTGTTTCATTAAGGTATGTAGTTTTATTGCCTCATCCGTTTTGTTCATTCGCTTATAAAATTTATTTGCTAGTTCAGCAATTCGCCTGTAGTTGTCGTTGTCGCCTTGCAGCCTTGTCGCAAATAAC